GCGATTGACCTCCGATATTTTCCCGATCATGTGGCTGAGCGTCAGCGGGGAACGGGACATACCGTCACTGCAACGCGTCGTGAACGACGACATTTTGCCCCGACTGGAAGCGGTGGACGGCGTATACGATCGTCAACGTGGAAGGCGGCGCCGAAGAAAGAATTTCCGTGGTTGTAGATCCGGTTCGCAGCGACGAGCATGGGCTCGCGATTCAAGACGTGGTCAACGCGGTATCCGGGAATTCGGTTGATCTCAACGCCGGCTCTTTGGACAACGGCGAACGGTCCCTCGGTTTGCGAACCTACCGTGGCTACGGCGACCTGGATTCCATTCGCGACCTCCCGGTCGATTATCGCCGCGCTGCGCTCAACGCGGCCGGTGCGCCGGCGGTCAACGATGGCGGTACTCCGATCATGCTGTCCGACGTGGCGGCGGTGCGTGTTGACACCCCGAATGCTGCCACAGTTTCGCGCACCAACGGCCAACCCAGCATCTCGCTCCAGGTGCTGCAACTTCCGGACGGCAACACCATTGACGTTACCCAGGAGTTGGCAAGTGTCATCGACGGTCTCCAACTCCCACCTGACGTGCGGGTCGATGTCCTTTACAACGATGGACCCGAGTTGGAAGAACAGCTAAGCAACGTGGTCGGCCAGGGCGGGTTGGGTTTCGTCATAGCCGTGATCGCCATTTTTCTATTCCTGCTCCAACTCCGCCCATCCGTTATCCGGGGAATACTTCAAACCCTCAGACCCACGATCATCATCGCGATTTCCATCCCGTTGAGCATCATGATCACGATTCTGGTCATGGCGGTAATGGATTGGACACTCAACTTCATGAGCCTTGCGGGGTTGGCTATAGCCGTCGGGCGAATCGTCGACGACAGCATCGTCGTCCTGGAAAACATCTACCGTCATGTTCAGGCTGGAGCGATGCGCTATCCCATGCAAGGGGCAGAATTCACGGCCTATCGCCTGGCGCCGTTGGGAGATGACCCTGGCCTCACCGCGGCCATCCGCGCCACTCGCGAGGTCGGCCCCGCTATTCTGGCTTCCACGTTGACCACGGTGGCGGTGTTTCTTCCATTGGCATTCATCCCTGGCATCGTCGGAGAATTCTTCCTGCCGTTTGCCCAAACCGTGTGTGTCTCGTTGTTGGCGTCTACCTTGATCGCCCTGACGGCCGTCCCCGTTCTGGCGTCGTTGCTGCTGAGATCCGGAGACATGGCGGACGAAGACGGCTCCGTTTCACAGGACACATGGTTGCAGCGCATTTACACGCCCGTCCTGACCTGGGCCCTCAATCATCCACTGCTGACGGTCCTGGGTTGTATCGGTGCAGTAGCAGCCACATTGCCTCTGATTTTCATGCTGCCAATCACGTTGTTTTCGTCAGGTGAAGCGGAGTCCATGCGCATCGACATCACCATGCCCGAAAACACCGGCGCAACCGCGATCCATTATGAGGTTCGAGAAATCGAAGCAATACTGGAACGTTACGCCGACGCCGGCCATATCGCGTCTTACCAGGCAACCCTGGGTTCTACCAGCCAGGACTTCGGACCCTCACAGGGAGAGTCCGGATACGACGTTGCCGGGTTGTTCATCGCACTTTCGGAATCCGCTCCGACCGACTTCGACGAGCAGTTGCGCGCGGAATTGCCGCAAAAAGAAGGCGTGGACGTTCAATTGTTTGTTGACTCGGCGGGGCCGCCACAGGCAGGCATCGAGATAGCCGTCACGGGCAGCGACTACAGTCGCGTGCGCCGTGTCGCCCAGGGCCTGGTGGATCAAATCAGACCGGTTGAAGGCGTGGTGAACCTCAAAACCAACTTGAGCGACAACAGCGAAGAGTTGACGTTCGAGGTCAACGCGTCGGAAGCCAGACGCTACGGACTTACTGCGGCGGCGGTTGCCGCGCAAGTTCGAACCTGGGTGCACGGCGTCGACGCAGCCAGCGTCAACCTCTTGGGGGAAACCTATGACCTGGTCGTCCGCGGCCCCTCGGAACAAGTCGACGAGCTTTCTGAATTGCAGAACCTGTCCATCGGCGGGCCTTTGGGCACAGCTACGCTGGGCTCGATTACCGACGCCAGGACGACCGTGGGACCGTCGCTGATCACTCATTACGACGGTGATAGATCCGTGACCATCACCGGGGAGTTTCTCGGGAACGATCCGCAGGCCATCAGCGCACGGATCGATCGCCTGATCGAGAACACAGATCTACCGGCTGGAATCGAGATCAGCCAGGGAGGTTTCGCCAGCGACATCCAGGAGCAGTTCAACAACGTGTACCTGGCCATGATGATCGGGCTCGCGCTCGTGTATCTGGTCATGGTCGCGACCCTGGGGTCACTGCGCGATCCATTCATTGTGGTTCTCAGCATGCCGTTAGCCGTGGTCGGAGCGCTCATTGCTTTGACCATCACGGGTCGCGCTCTGAGCCTGCCATCGCTCATGGGATTCCTGTTCCTCATTGGCATCGTTGTGACCAACGCGATAGTCCTGATTACTTTTGTCGCCCAACTGCGATCCCAAGGACTGGGCGCGCTTGAGGCCATGATACTTTCGGGACGCACGCGATTGCGCCCGATCTTGATGACCGCGTTCACCACCATACTCGCTTTGGTTCCGCTAGCGTTCAGCGATACCAGTGGTTTGGTCGGCGCGGAACTGGCCACCGTGGTAATCGGCGGACTGATTAGCTCGACCTTCCTTACGTTGGTTGCGGTACCGGTGACCTACATGCTGTTGCACGACGCGATCCCAAGAGCCTGGTCGTCGGCATTTCGGCGCCTGGCGCGCCGGCCAGTCAGCCGGGCGGATGTATCGTAGCCTTCTCTCTCCAGAAACGGTCATTGTCCCCGTTGAGGTGATCCCTTGCATCTGAGTATCCATAGTTTTACGTCCGCATCCCGTCGCTCGGCGATGGCGCTCATCATCCTGCTCGGTGTGCTCGCGTTGATCACCTCCGGGTGTGGCCGGTTCACGGACGAACCGGACGAACCGGTTGAACCGGCCGGGCGCACAGCGCCGCCCGTCTGAGTCGATGGAGTCTCGGGAATTTGAGGTGTCGAGCCACTTGGTATTTGCGAACAGTGCGGACCTCGCTTTCGAAATATCAGGGGAAGTCGGAACGGTGAACGCGTCTGTCGGAGATATGGTGTCGGCAGATGCCGTTCTGGCGACCGTTGACTCCGAAACCATACGGAACTTGCGATACGCCGAATCACAAGGGCTTTACCAAATTGAAAAATCCCACGAAGAGTTGGACCGAGTGTTGGGCCTGGACTCGTCGGACTCACTCGTGCGGGCCCGGGCGGAGGGTGGTCTGGCCAAAGCTGAACTGAATTTACAAAAAGCCCGAGACAATCTGGAAGACTATCTTCTCGAGTATGACGTTGCCCTGGGCACCGGACGCAAAGCGGTCGCCGACGCCAACTTCGCTTTGGACCAAGCGACGGACGCAGTGTCGGATTTTGCCGATATGCACGGGGAGAGTTTCGCGGTTGCGTTGGCCCGGCGTTCCAATGCGCGGGCAAATTTGAACGATGCCCGGGACGCGGTCACCGATTTCTTGCCGCTGCATAATGAAGCGGTAGCGGCGCTCGAAACCAGGATTGCGGCTACGGAAAGCGAGTTGGATCGAGCACGCGACGACGTCAGGGACTTCGACGTGGACCATTCCCAACGTCTGGCATCCGCCCGGGTGCAACTGGCCGCAGCTGAAGCCAATCTGGAAAAAGTGGAGGATGAATTTTCCGTTTTTCACGTCATGGTGATCGAAGGCCAGTTCCACAGCCTGCAGGATGGCCGGAATTTTGACGTGGTGCAGTTCGAAGCGCTGCAAGCCGCAGTCGATTCCGCCAAAAGAGACGTTGAGCACTGGCAGACCGAGTTGGCTGACTTGGAGGAGGGTCCCAAAGAAGTGGACCGCACGGGAGCTGTGGCCAATGTTGCCCGGATCGCATCCGAACTGGAGAGGTTTAATCGCCAATTGAGGGATGAATTGGTGGGCCCGGATCAGACTGAATTGGATCGTCTCGAAGCCAACGTCCTGGTCGCTCAAGAATCTCTGGACCGAGCCGAGCGGGACCTGGCCGAATTGGAGCAAGGGATCGACCAGCTGAAACTCGCCAGCCTCGAGGCTGGCGCGGAAAGCGCCCGTCTCTCATTGAAAGCCGCAGAATCGCGGTTGACTCGCCTCGAAGAAGGCATCGACCAAGCCGTGTTGACGGACCTGAATCAGCAAATCGTGACCGCCCGGGAGGCCAGGGACGATCTGGCAGCAGGCCCGGACTCCGCGGACGTGGCTTTGGCGCGAGCGAATCTCGACAATGCCAAATCCGACTACGACGAGATTGTGGAAGATCTGGAACTCTCCTTCTTGCGTGCGCCTTTCTCGGGGATGGTCCGACTGCTTACCGTAAAAGAGGGCGACGTCATCACTGTGGATGCTCGCGTCATCCAACTCGTCGACCCAACAAGCATAACGATCCAAGGCTTGGTGGAAGCAAACAACATTGAACGCATCAAAGTAGGCACGCCCGGGTCAGTGACGGTGGCAGCCTTGCCGGAAGTTGCGTTGGAAGCGCAGGTACAGGAAATATCGCCGGATGCCAAAACCGAGAGAGGCGTGATCAGCTTCCCGGTCGAGTTTGCGGTCGTCGTCCCATCGGGGGTCACGATCCCTCCCAATCCCGGTTTGGTCACTACCACCGTACGTCCGTGATTCTGCATGTAGCGTCGACTGACCAATCAACGCCAACGTGAAGGTCAATCGCAACTGGAGTTCGGTCAATGCAATCGACCTGATCGATAGTCACCATCGCGGCTTGCGGGTCCGGCGCACTGCGCGGGTAGCGACGCGGCGATAATCCCATCTGCTTGACATCCGGCTCGATTGCCGCATATTCTTTGCCGTATCAAATTCCCATCTTTTTGATCGCATTCCCGGCAAAATTGCCGGGATATTCGCATCGTGTGAGGAGAAACATGGTTAAGCAGGGTGTCGTGCCCGACGATTTGACCAGGCCCTTTTTCGAAGCCGCCAATGAAGAGCGACTGGTTATCCAGAATTGCACCGCCTGTGACCGGTTGCACTTCCCGCCTCGCGCCGCATGCGACAAGTGCGGTTCCGGTGACAACCTGGAATGGAAGCAGTTGAGCGGCAAGGGCAAAATCTACAACTACGGCGTGGTGTACGACTGCCCGGTCGCCTGTCTTAAAGAAGACCTGCCCTTCAATTTGGCCGCCATCATGTTGGACGAGGATCCTGGCGTGCTGATGTATTCCCATCTGCCGGGTATCGCGCCTGACGAAGTGCCGGTAGGCGGCGCCGTACAGGTGATTTTCGAGGCAACGGCAAACGGCCAAAAAGTGCCCGAGTGGCAGGTCGTAGGCTGATCGCCCGGCGCCAGCCTTTCATACGCATCCCCCGGGCCTGCCGGTTTGGCAGAACCCTGACCACAATCGCAAGGAGTTAGCTATGACGACCCAAATGGCTCCGGAATCGATGTATCGTTCCACCGAAGGTTTGGGGGTTTGGGAGCACCGGGGGAAGGTCGCATCCGTAGGTATCGGACATTCCCCGACAGCCCGCCGCTGGGATGGGAGACCGGAGACGTCGGTTGGAGCACTGAGCATTTTGGCGCTGCGCAAGGCCATCGCTGACTCGGGCATCGCCCCGGACCAGGTGGACGGCCTCGTGCTGGTGCCGGTCACGACCACGGGCGCCTACTGGCCTGCGGACCAGCCCGTGCCCATGGATGTCGCCAACGCGTTCAATCAAACAGATGATCCTCTGGACGGCATTGGACAGCTGAGTTCGGAATGGATCATCAAAAACATGCCTGAACTGAGTAACGTCAAGTTCACCATGTACGCGCCCGGCTGCATGTCCGCTGCCATCGTGGTCGCCGCGCAGGCCGTTGGCGATGGCTTGGCCAGCAACTGCCTGGTCCTCAAGGGTTGGCACAACCTGGAAGGCCGATACAACCATGGAGGCATCAGCGGCGCTGACGAGGTGCCCGGCAGTTTCGCGGTCACTCCTGGTCGGACGCTCTGGGGCGCGCCTGGATGCTACGGCACGGCCCTGCAATTCGCGCAGTATTGCACCAAGTACGGCAAGCACCACGACATGATGGCGCCGTTCATGGAGAATTCCAGGCGCAATGGGCTCCTGTTCCCTGAAGGATATTGGGCGCAGCACCGCCCCGAGCAATTGACGCCGGAGGACTACCTGGCCTCTCGGTGGATCGCCAAGCCGGCTAACCTCTTCGACAACGACATACCGATCATGGTTGCGGCCGCCTACCTGTTCACCACTGCGGACCGTGCGCAGGATGCGGCTCAGAAGCCGGTGTACATCCTCAACCACGCTTCGAGTCGCGGCGCGGCGCGCAGCATAACCCCCACGCTGGAAGAGGTGGAGGCGGAGACCGCATCTACCGGGCGAAAGATCTACGAGGGCGCCGGCATCACTGCCGACGATCTCTCCTTCGAAAACATGTACGACGGGTTCGCCCAGTTCCATCAGTTCCACATCGAGGGGCTACGCTACCGGGGAATGCAGCCCGGCGACGCCCTGGATTTTTACCAGACCGATATCAGCATCGAGGGACCCAACCCGATTCTTGCCAGTGGTGGCAACATCGGCGGCGGCAGGAGCCGGTTCTGGATGCACACTGACTGCATGCAACAGATCCAGGGCAGGGCCGGCGCCCGCGCTCTCACCGGTGTCAAGCCGGAAATCGCCGTTTCCGGTGGACCCATGCCGATGGGTGGCAATTTCACGGTCTGGAGCGCCACGCCTGACTAACCACCAGACGTAGGGTTCCGGCACAAATCGTCGCTTTGGGCGACCTCACGGGGTCGCCCAATTTTCGGGTCTAGGCACCCGACCAATCACGAGAGGAGGCACATGGCTATTCTCATCAGCTTTGACATCGATGGCACATTGGAAGTGGGAGACCCCCCCGGTCCTTTGACCATGGACATGGTTAGGATCCTCCAGGAGAAGGGCTTCCTCATTGGGAGTTGCTCCGATCGACCGCCAGCAGCCAGCGGACCTTGTGGGCCAGCCACAACATCGATGTTGACTTTGCTGTCGCAAAGCATCTGCTGGCGGATGTCAAATCGGAATTCAGCGCAGACGCCTATTACCATACCGGCGACCGTGAAGACCTGGACCGTCAGACTGCTCTGCGGGCCGGGTTCGAATTTCTGTGGCCCGATGAAGCCGCAGCCCACCCGTGGTTCCTGCCCGATGCCTGATCGGGAAGTGGGTACAGCGAATGATTGGGGAATGGCACTCGTTTAACCGTATTGCAGGTCCCTGCCCATAATTGTTGCCGTGACAGATATAGAAAACGACATTGAGCGACGGCGACCCCGCGTCTTCTATGGCTGGTGGGTCGTCGTCGTTTCCTCTTTGCTGGGTATGTTCGGGAACGGATCCATATCCCAGGGATTCCCGAGATTTTTCGTACCGATCAGGACCGAATTGGGCCTGACCTCCGCGCAGATGTCGCTGGTTTTCAGCCTGGCGCGGGCTGAAGGCAGCGCGGGTGGGCCCCTGGTGGGCTGGGCAGTCGACCGTTATGGAGCCCGGCCTATGGTATTGGCCGGCGGGTTGATGGCTGGCGTCGGGACGATCCTGCTATCCCGGGCGGACAGCTACTGGGAACTTATCATCTTGTTCTCGGGCATCGTTTCGTTGGGAAAAAGCGCGGGCTTCGGCCAGACCCTGATGGCGGCGGTCAACCAATGGTTCATCCGACGACGCTCGGTGGCGATGTCGACGCTGATGACCGCATTCGCGGGTGGCGGAGCGTTCGTCGTATTGCTCCTGAACCTGGGTATCCAGCAGGTTGGATGGAGAGATACCCTGTTATGGACCGGGGTTTTTATCGTCGTGATGACGGTGCCAGCCGCGTTTTTCATCCGCAGTCGTCCCGAAGACATCGGTCTGTTGCCCGACGGAGATCCCCCGGTGGAAACCGGCAGCGGATCCGGTTCTTCCGGACGCGGTCAGAGAGGCGGCGACGACAGCTTTTCGTTTCGCCAGGCGATCAGTACGCGCACCTATTGGTTGATCATGGTGGGCGCTATTTTGCGCGTATCGGTGACCAACGGAATGCTGGTGCATATCTTTCCGATCATGGCCGTGCGCGGAATTTCGGAGAACGAAGCCGCCGCCTGGGTAGCCGCCATGTTCTTTCTCGGTATCCCGTTGCGGTTCATCATGGGCGTTACGTCGGGGAAGTTCCGCGGCAACGTCCTCCTGGCAATCGGTATGGTGCTGGGAGCCGTCGGCATGGGAGGCTTATGGATCGGGCCGGGCTTGAGCGGTCTCCTCCTGTTTGTGGTTGGGATAGCGATTGTCGAGGGGATCACCTCGGTGAATTGGTTGATGTTGTCCGACTATTACGGCCGTGCCCGGTTTGCGACGTTAATGGGGTTCATGAGCTTGTTCATGAACGTGGGGATGTTCGTCTCCCCTTACGTGTCGGGATTGGTGTTTGACCGCACGGGCAGCTACTATTACGTGCTGGCGGTGTTCACGCCGTTGTACTTGGTGAGCGCCGTCGCCTTCCTGTTCGCAACGCGGCCCGACAAACCGGCCAGCACACGCCGGCGTTGGATCGGCACCGACGCGCACATGCCAGCAGCGCCTTCCCCCAGCGGTGCCGCAAACTAACCTCGGACGCAAATCTGGCGGCCACGATCACGAATCGAGAAAGACCCCACTGCCAAAGATCCCGCTGCCAAAGATCCCACTACCAAGGAAGTGCCATGAACCCGCAGCCGATCACGCTCCATGGTCACCACGTACGCCTGGAACCCATTGGTCCTCAGCATGCCGAAGACCTGTTTCAGGTCGGAACGGACGAAGCGATATGGCAGTATCTGTCTCGACCGGCGTTCACAACCTTGGCTGACGCGGAAGAGTGGATCCAATCGTGCATGTCACGGAACGATCGCGAGGCACGGGTTCAGTTTGCCGTTGTCCACCAAGCCGATGGTCGCGCCATCGGTTCCACCGGCTACCTCGATATCGATCGCCCCAACCGCGCCCTGGAGATCGGTATGACGTGGTACGGCACGGATTACCAGCGCACCGCCGTCAACACCGAATGTAAATTCCTGTTGTTGCGCCACGCATTCGAACAGCTGGAGGCGTTGCGCGTCTGTCTCAAAGCCGATCACCGCAACACACGGTCGCGGCGCGCTATCGAGCGTATCGGCGCCGTCAGGGAAGGCGTACTGCGCAACCACCGCATCGCCCGAGATGGCGTGAACCGACACTCGGTTTATTACGGCATCATCAACAGCGAATGGCCGGCGGTACGGGACCGGTTGCAGGCCATCCTGGCCGGCTAGCGGCAATCTGTGGCGCATACGGGCCGGTTACGGTATGATGACGCGCGTCCCTTGATACTCGGCTTCCGTGGCCAGCGTACTGCTTGCGCAAACGCCGGCAAGAGGCAAGCAACCCCTGAAGAGGCCGCTGTTCGTGCTATAATCTGCGCCGGAGGAGGTGCCCATGAGAGCTATTGACTATGTTGCCCCTACATCTCTTAGCGAAGCCGTTGCGATTTTGTCCGCACACGGCGATCGCGCCCGCCCGTTGGCCGGCGGAACGGACATAATCGTCCAACTGCGTGGCGGCAGGCGAGAGCTGGACGTTTTGGTGGATGCCAAGACGATCCCCGAATTGAACCAAATTGAACTGACCGACAGCGGCCTCCGGTTGGGCGCTGCCGTGCCTTGTTACGAGGTCTACCAAAATCAGGCCGTAGCCGCCGCTTATCCCGGTCTGATGGATGCCGCTGGCCTCATCGGAAGCATTCAGATCCAGGGCCGGGCCTCGATCGGCGGGAACCTGTGCAACGCTGCGCCGTCAGGCGACAGCATCCCCCCGGTAATCACCATGGGCGGTGAAGCACACATCAACGGACCCAACGGTTGGCGCGCGGTGGCAGCAGAGGATTTCTGCACGGGCCCGGGCAGGAGTGTCCTGGAACCCGGTGAAATCCTGGTTGGTATCCAGATTCCGGCGCCCGCCGCCAATTCGGGCACGGCGTACCTTCGCTTCATCCCGCGAAACGAGATGGACATCGCCGTCGCCGGCGTTTCCTCGTCGGTGGTTCTGGACGGTTCGGGGCAGACGATCCAGTCCGCACGTATCGCCCTGGCCTCAGTGGGGCCGACCCCGATCCTCGCCACCGCAGCCGGCGACAGCCTGGCCGGCAAGGCCGTCTCTGACGACGCGATTGCCGAAGCCGGACGCCTGGCCAGCGAAGCTGCGATCCCGATTACCGACATGCGCGGTACGATCCGTCAACGCCATCACTTGGTGGACGTGCTGACCCGCCGCACCCTGAATATCGCCATCCGGCGCGCCCGAGGGGAGGAGTAACAATGCCCGGACTTGTCCACGTAACCACCACAATCAATGGCAACCAGACCGACTTCCTCTGTGAGCCGCGCCAGAGCCTCTTGGAGTGCCTGCGCGACGTCATCGGGATGACGGGCTCCAAGGAAGGTTGCAACGACGGCAACTGCGGAGCGTGCACCGTGAACCTGAACGGTCGCATCGTCACTTCCTGTCTGGTCTTGGGCGTCGAAGCGCAGGGCGGAGAAGTCGACACGATTGAAGGCGTTGCTTCCGCTGAAGGGCTGCATCCCATACAGCAGGCGTTCCTGGAAAACGCTGCCCTCCAGTGCGGCATCTGCACCCCGGGCTTCATCGTAGCCAGCAAGGCCCTGCTGGAAGCAGAGCCGGATGCAGACGAAGCGCGCATACGTCACTGGCTGGCCGGCAATCTGTGCCGTTGCACCGGTTATGACAAGATCGTCCGCGCGGTGCTGGACGCCGGAGAACGAATGCGGGCATAGTCTCCATTTCGTTGCCAACGGCTGCCGAATGGCATCCGTTTCGATGTTCTCAGCCGTAGGGGCGAATTAATATTCGCCCCTATATCGTTAGGGAGGTGACCCAAAGTGACCACAGCGAACCAAGTCCTATCTGAAGTTGAATACGAGGTGGTGGGCAAGCGCCCGGTGCGTCCCGACGGCGTGGACAAGGTCACCGGACGCGCCCAGTACGGCGCGGACCTTGATCTGACTGGATTGTTGCATGCCCGTGTTTGCGGAGTCCTCATGCCCACGCCCGAATCAAATCGATCGACACTTCCAAAGCTGAAGCGCTCAACGGAGTGCGGGCCGTGGTGACGGCCGCCGATCTGCCCTTCGCCGCGCTGACCAAAGAGGATCTGGGTAACGACTACAATCGGTTCAAGTTCCTGAGCGACAATTTCCTCGCCAGCGACAAGGCGCTATATCGCGGACACGCTGTCGCTGCGGTGGCCGCCGAAAATGCCCATGTCGCGGAGGCCGCACTCGCCCTGATCGACGTTGACTACGAAGTGTTGGAACCCGTGATCGACGTGCGGGCCGCAATGCAGGATGGCGCTCCTCTGGTGCATGATGGTCTGGTCCACACTTCCGTCTTGGGCGAGATCTCAGACAAGCCCAGCAACGTCGCGTCCTACATGAAATTCGAGAAGGGCGACACCGCAGCCGGTTTTGCCAACTCCGACGTCATAGTTGAGCGGGAGTTCACCACGGCCTCCGTGCACCAGGGATATATTGAACCGCACAACGCCACCGCTCACTGGCGCGCCGACGGAAAGATAAACGTCTGGTGCTGCACCCAGGGCGCTTTTGTAGTACGCGCCAACACCGCGGACGTGTTGCGGGTTGACGTTTCCGACATTCGGGTTACTCCCATGGAGATCGGTGGCGGGTTCGGCGGCAAGGTCGCCTTCTACCTCGAGCCGGTTGCCGCGCTGCTTTCTCGCAAGGCGGGGGCGCCGGTCCAGTTGTTGATGAGCCGCACCGAGGTATTCGAGGGCAGCGGCCCGGCCCCCGGGAGTTGGATGCGCGTCAAGATGGGCGCCAACTCGGCCGGCAAGATCACTGCGGCGGAAATAGAGTTGGCCTTCGAGGCGGGCGCTTATCCGGGCTCACCGGTAATGCAGGGCGCCACCTGCGCCTTCGCCTGCTACGAACTGGAAAACGGAGCCGTCGAGGGTTACGACGTAATGGTTAACAAGCCCAAGACGGCCGCATACCGCGCGCCTGGCTCGCCACAGGCAGCGTTCGGGGTTGAGCAGGTGGTAGACGAACTCTGCCAAAAGTTGGGCGTGGATCCGGTGGAATTCCGCCTCAATAACGCGGTGACCGAGGGGTCGCGCAAGGTTGAAGGTCCCGTGTTTCAAAAGATCGGTTTGGTGGAATGTCTGGAGGCCGCGCGCAACCACGAGCACTACCGGACGCCACTGGAGGGGCCAAATCGGGGCCGCGGTTTGGCCGCCGGCTTCTGGATGAACCGCGGCTTCCATTCCAGCGTGAACATGACAGTAAACCCCGACGGCACCGTGAACCTCATCGAGGGTTCGGTGGATATCGGCGGCTCCCGGGCCTCCATCGCACAGCAGGCGGCCGAAACGCTAGGAATAGCCTACGAGGACATCAAGCCGCAGGTAGTTGACACGGACTCCATCGGATTCACGATGGTCACGGGCGGCAGCCGTACCACATTCGCGACGGGTTGGGCCGCCATCCTCGCGGCGGAAGACGTGAAGGGGCAGATGGTGGAACGAGCAGCATCCATCTGGGATGTCCCAGTCGAGGAGGTTGAGTACGACGGCGGCGTGATCCGGCACAAGTCGGAGGAGTTGAGTGTCACCTTCAAGGATCTGGCGCGCCAGCTCTACACCACCGGCGGCGGCATTACGGGGACCGCAAGCCTCGATCCCACAGGCGAGGGCAATTCCTTCGGCGTGCATCTGGTCGACGTTGAGGTTGACCCGGAGACCGGCAAGACCGAAATCCTGCGCTACACCGCCATCCAGGATGCCGGCAAAGCCGTGCATCCCAGCTACGTGGAAGGGCAGATCCAGGGAGGTGCGGTGCAGGGCATCGGGTGGGCCCTGAACGAGGAGTATTACTTCAGCGACAACGGCCAGATGATGAACTCGAGCTTCCTGGACTACCGGATGCCGACCTCGCTGGACCTGCCCATGATCGATACGGTCATCGTGGAAGTCGCCAATCCCGGCCACCCGTACGGAGTTCGCGGCGTGGGCGAGGTGCCCATCGTTCCCCCGCTAGCCGCCATCGCCAACGCGGTGGGTCATGCCACCAACCAACGGCTGACGAACCTGCCCATCACGCCAGGGCAGCGTGCTGGAGGCAACCCTGTAGCCATTTGCTCCGCCTGAAGTCAGAGGGAACAAGCAAACGGGGGCGACTTTGTATCGCCCCCGTTTTGGTTCCACGCGACGCTGGTCCGACCAACGCAGACCAGGCACGCCGAGGTGTTGGTGTCTGCGTCCTATTTGAACTGCGGAATCACGTCTGCCGCAATTGAGTGCATCAACTCGCGGAGGCGGCCCGCGTCCCCAGTGTTGAGGGCCAGGACGATGTGCTGCACCCCGGCCTCCCGGTAGGCAGAGATTCCGGCGGCCATGCCGGCCGGGTCATGCCCCGGCAAGCGCGACCGATCAGCAGCGCGTTGACTGGATGGACCTCCATGGGCCTCCACTTCCACGCGGGCGGACATCACCAAATCGTCCGGGTTTCGGCCGGCGGATTCGGCGAGCTCCCGGACTCGCTGGCGGCCGATGGCAAACTCCTCGGCGCTCATGCCTGACGGATGCCAACCGTTGCCACGCCGAGCGGCCCGGCGCAATGCACCTGGGCTACCGCCGCCAACCCACAGGGGCACGTGGCGGGAGCCGTCCACAGACTGCACCGGCTTGGGCGAGAATTTGAGGTCGCCGAATTCCCAGCGTTCACTGCTGTAGCGAGGGTCCTCGTTGGACCACAACTCCCGCATGACGTCCATGGACTCGTTGGTCAAGGAGCCTCGCTGACTCAACGGGATACCCAGCGCCTCGAACTCCGGGGTCATGGCGCCCGCGCCAACGCCGAGAACCACGCGTCCCCCAGACATCTGATCCAGCGTGGCAGCGTACTTAGCCAACTCAACTGGATTGTGATACGGCAAGACCAGCACCGACGTGCCCAACTTCACGCGCGAAGTCAGTGCCGAGATGTGGGACAGAGTCGCCATGGGGTGGTAGTACGGTTTGTCGTCCAGCCGCTCCCGGATGTAGCCGTTGTTGAAAATGTGGTCCATGACCCACACGGAATCGAACCCGAGCTCTTCCGCCAGCGGCCGAAGCTAACGACCGCCTGTGGGTCTTCGATGCCCCAGTTATTGGGAATGGTTACGCCAAATTCCATCTTGGATCTCCTCGGTAAACGGCTTTACCGACCCGAACCGGGCGGCTCCCGATCGGGTCGACGACTGGTAGGTGATCCACCCTATCCCTGCGCTAGCGCGTGGATAGGACAGGGCACAAGATCGGAAGCTACTGCCCCCGTTTGGGCAGGAACGGGTTCAACTTTTCGGCCAGGGAAGCGAGGTTACGGGTCTGGATCCATACCGTGCCGCTACCACGGAACTTCATCACGAGCCCCTCACCGCCGGCGATCAGTGAGCGGATGCCGCCGACCTTCCCGATGGAGTACTCCACATCGTCGGTGAAAGCCACGAGATGCCCGGTGTCCACCACCAACTCCTGGCCCGGGGTCACCGCAACCTCTTTGATGGCACCGTAGGAGTTGTAATACACGGTACCTGTACCCTGTTGCGCGTAGGCACGGATGAAGAACAGACTTTCCCCGCTGAAAAATCCCCGAAAGCCCTGGAATTGACTGTCGATTTGCACGTTGCCGGTACTTGCCAGGAAGGAACTGGACTGCAAAAACAGGTTGGTTCCCGGCTCCAGGGAGAACGAGCCGACATCACCAGGGGCGGGCGGAGCCAGGCTGACCCAGCCTCCCGTGGCTTCGGCGGTGAAGGTGTTCACGAAAAAAGATTCCCCGCCCATCATGCGACGGATACCGCCGAAGAGACCGCCGGACCCGCTCATGCCCGTGGCCATGACTACGCTCTGCTGAGCCACCATCGCTCCAGGCTCCGCCTTGATGGATTCGCCAGGCGAAAGGTCAATCGTAAGCAGCGAATAGCTGGGATCGAATTCGACGGTAGCCTGCATTATTGTGCACACCTACGGGAGGTTCAGCCGGTCTTGATTGACTGCAAAAGGCGGGCACAGTCTATGGCGCCCAGCGCGCAGTCGGAGCCCAAGTTGCCAACCTTGCCTCCGGAACGGTTGATGGCCTGTTCCATGTTTTCGGTAGTCAACACTCCGAACATGGTGGGAATGCCGGTTTCGCGGCCCACCGCCGCGATGCCCGAGGCGGCCTGATTGCACACCATGTCGTAATGGCTGGTTTCCCCCCGGATTACGGCGCCCAGGCAGATCACCGCATCATAGCGGCCGGATTGAGCCAGCGTTTTAGCTACCAACGGCAGTTCAAACGAGCCCGGGACCCATGAAGTGGTAATGTCGCCGTCGCGCACGCCGTATTTCCCCAACGTCGAGACAGCGCCTTCCATCAGATTTTTGGTGATTACATAGTTGAACCTGGCGGCGACCACTGCAATGCGCAGACCGGTTCCGTCCAACCCGGCGTTCAGTTCCTGCGGCAAGCTCTCATCTCCTCTGACCAGGAGCTAGGCGCCCGGGCCTTGGGCCGGAAACCCGCCCCGAAAGTGTACTACGCAGCCGCCGACGGTGTCACCAGATTGCAGACACGCGATCCCGTACCGCACGGTCAATTCAGCAGCGCGTGATGCACATCCGGCAACGACCGGATTTCGCCGGTGAGGATCATTCGGGCAAGCCGGCGGGCCGCGGACTTTTCTGGCTCCGCCGTGATGTACTCTGCCGGGGACTTACCGTCGATACGAGCCAACAGTAGTGCGCCCATTTGATGGACCGCTTTGGATTGGAGCGCGAGGGGGTCGGCCGCGAAGGCCGGAGCGTTGGCGCAATAGGCCGCCCAAAAGGCGTTTCCCGCCGCGTTGTACCGGTCAGCGAGATCCGAGCGGTGGATGGCTTTCAAGGTGAGATGATTCAACATGAACGCCAGGTCGAAAACCGGGCTGCCCAAATGAACGACTTCGAAATCCAGCAAGAATGCCGTCGCCTCCTCACCGGCTCCGGAGACGATCACGTTCTTCGGGCTGTAATCACCGTGCACCATGCAGAGGCGGTGGTCCAGCATGGCCTGGGCGGCGGACTCGATGACGTCCGCCAGGTCAGGATGCGCGCGTGCGGTGGCGCGGTGGTAGGGATCAATGCGCAACTGGACGAAGCAGCGCTGATCGGCGAATTCGCGCAGTTCGGCGGGTATGTTCTCGCCTGAGACGGCGGAGCATTGGTGCATGGCGCCCAGTAGACGGCCGACCTTCGTGGCCACGGCAGGGTCGACATGTCCGTCGAGGAGGTCATCCTTCCACGTGCGGGTTTGCTCCAGGGGCGGCAGTCATCACAAACAGGAAATTTGCCGGATCTTCGTGAATTACCTCGGGAAGGGAGGAACGCGGCAAGACGCCCTGCAAGTACCGGAGGCTCGCCGCCTCGCGATGAATGCGCGCCTGGTCCGCCAGCCACTCCTGCTCGACACGCAAGCGCGGGAGGGATTGTTTGACCACCACGCCGTCGCGTTCGCCGGCGAATCCACTCTGACGACGACATTGGAAACCCCTCCGCCCAACTCGCGGGCGGACGCCGAAGCGGCCTGGCGGGTGGAGATCAGACCAGTGGCACGCAGACACTCGACGGCGTTGGCTTCCGAAAGCGTGAACGCCATCGAACTGTTCCGGCCTACTGGGCGGGTGCGCTGAGCGACCGGTTAACCTAGACCCGTGCAAGCCACCTGGGTGGTGAAGTCTTCCAAGTGTCCCAGGGTTTCTTCCAAATTGCCGTCGGCGCTCAGCCGGGCGATGTCGAGCACCAGGTAACTGACACCCATGTCCTGGTACTGGCGAATGTCACCGGCGATCTGTTCGCTGCTGCCGGTGAAACGAGCGCGGTCCGGGCTGGTGTCGGATCCGGTAATGCGGTAGTCGTGGGAGCGGTAGATGATCTGGATTTCGTCGGGGTCACGTCCGGCGCGCTCGGCGGTCCGACGCAGGCGACCCATGCTGTCCTGCAACGCCTCCGGTGTCCCCACTGGGAAGGCCGGGTTGTTGCCAATGGGATACCAGCCGTCGCACAGGGTGGCAGCGCGGCGGATGGCGGGGCCGGCTCTCGCCGCCGACCCAGAAAGGCGGGTGTGGCTTCTGCACCGGCTTGGGAAGGAACCAGATGTCGGAGAAATTGACGTACTCGCCCTCAAAGCTGGGATCGTCAGAGGTCCACAATTCCTTGAATGCGCGGATGTACTCGTCGGTGACGGCCCCGCGTTCGTCGAAGGGCTCACAGCCCACGGCTTCGAATTCCTCACGACACCAACCAACGCCAACACCGACGATCAGCCTCCCGCCGGACAGGACGTCCAGGGTCGCCAGAGCCTTGGCGGCTACCAACGGGTTGCGATGGGGCACGATGAGCACCGACGTCGCCAGCCTGATGGCGCTGGTGCATCCGGCCATGTAGGACAGCGCAGTGATCTGCTCCATTGCCTGACCGGACGAAGAACCGGGAAATTCGCCGGTCTCCGTGTACGGGTAATCGGAATCGATATTCTTTGGCACCAGGATATGATCGCCCAGGGCGATGGAATCGAATCCCAAAGCTTCGGCGCGTTGGGCGATGGTCGCCATGTTGTCCGGCGTGGCCAGCGGGCCGCGGCCAGGGAGTGTAATGCCGTACTGCATCAGGTGACACCTCGATAGTCGTGCGGATGCGGATCAGTGGAACAATATGCCACCGTTGACGTTGTAGGACTGACCGGTGATCAAAGTAGAATCCGGGCCGGCCAGGAACGCCACCAGGTTGGCAACGTCTTCCGGTTCGGCGATGCGGCCAAGCGGGGTCCGGTCCGCGGAGGACGCGACCACCTGGGCGCGGAATTCCTCCTGGGTGAGCCCTCGCTGGGCGGCCTGGTCGCGCTCCCAATAGCTCATGCGGTCGGTGTTGATCGGACCCGGACACACCGCGTTGACGGTGATTCCGTGGGGAGCGAGATCCATGGCCGACGCCTGGTCAAACCGATGACGGCGAATTTGCTGGCCGAATAGGCCGCGCCGTCGGCGCTGGCCTGTTTGCCGGCGTTGCTGGCAATGTTCACGACGCGGCCGCCGTTGCCCAAACGGACCATTTCTCGTCCGGCGTACTTGGTGCACAGGAACACCGCGGTGGTGTTGATGGCGAGGAAATGCTGCCACACATCTTCTTCCAACTCGGTGACGGGCACCTTGTCACGACCGATGATGGCGCGCGCATTGTTGACCATGATATCCAGGCGCCCGTAGTGGTTGACGGTCTCCGCCACTAAGCCCTCGATCTCGTCGGCATTGGACAGGTCGGCATAGACGGACAGGGCCTGTCCCGCCCAGGCTGTGGATTTCTTCGGCGACGCTATCGATCGACTGCCATTCAGCGCGGACTTCGCCGGGCGGGAGATCTACGGCGGGTCGCCGAACATCGGTGATCGCTACCTGGGCGCCCTGGGACGCCAGTTTCAACGCCGTTGCGCGGCCGACGCCACGCATGCCGCCGGCGCCGGTGATCAGAGCTACTTTGCCTTCCAAGCTCATGGTTGTTCTCTCCCAGCGCTGAAGGGTTCGCGGGCGAACACCCGCCTAACCGCAGGCTCAAAAAATTCCAAAGTGAGGGTGTCGTAATCAGGGTCGAATGACGGTTGGTCCCAACGGTGGCAGAAATCCACCGCGTCCTGGTACCACGGGTGGTCGATATACCGGTCGCGGGCGTTGCGGTCGCCGCCCATGTGGTGGGCGTAGTAGTAGGTTTGGAACAGGCCGTGCTGCCTGATTACCCAGTAGGTCCGTTCGGACACGTAGGGCCTCAACACGGCGGCCGGCCATTTCACTGTGGTTGTGCGGCGCGAGCAGGTCGCCGATATCGTGCAAGAGGGCAGCCACGACCATCTCTTCATCGGCTCCGTCTCGGTGCGCACGAGTCGCGGACTGCAAAGAGTGCTCCAATCGGTCCACCTGATAGCCGGCCAAGGAACCGGCGAGTCCGCGCAACTGATCCAGCACGCGGTCAGCCGTGCCAGAGGCGAATTGCGCTTCAAGGCGATCCAAAAGTTCGTAGTCTTCGCGGGTCCCCGCAGCCATGCTGGTGAACGAGACGGTAGTCGCTGTCGCTTGGGACACGTCGCTCATGAGCGTTCTCCCATCGTGTAGTATGTTGCCGAATTGTACCATCGCTGCGTCCGCGTTCGGAGAGGCGAGGAGAACGGCACATGGCGGACCAGAGACGGCTGCAGGGGAAAGTCGCGTTGATCACCGGCGGCGGCCGGGGCATTGGACAGGCGATCGCCCGGGCTTACGCGGCGGAGGGAGCGAGCCTGACGTTGGCGGCTCGAACCGACACCGAACTGCGGTCGACAGCCGAAACAATCCGGTCGGCGTTCGGCAGCGAGGTGACTACCGTCATCACGGACGTAAGGGATCGAGAACAGGTGGAGAACGCCGTTTCGCACACGCTCGACCGGTTCGGGACCATCGACGTGATGGTCAACAACGCGGGCAACACGGGCGAGATCGGGCCGTTGTGGAAACTGGACCCGGAACGCTGGGCCAATGTCATTTCGGTCCATGTTCTGGGCACTTACTACGGTTGTCGGGCGGTGATACCGGGAATGCTGGAACGAGGTCGGGGCCGGATCGTCAACATGGCCGGCGTGGGAGGGCCGAACGACACCTCCTACGATGCCGCGAAAACCGCCATCATCAATATGACGGAGAATCTGAGCGTGGAACTGGCGGGCACGGGGGTTACGGTGAACGCCATCAGTCCCGGTTCCATTCATACGCGGATGTGGGAAGAGGTCCGCGACATGGCCCTGGCGGCCGGAGACACAGAACTGTACGAAAAGGGCGTCGAAGTTACGTCGGGGGGAGGCGCCTCGATTGAACGGGCGGCGCAACTGGCGGTTCTGCTGGGCAGCGACGATTGCGGCACGCTATCGGGCCGGCTCATACGGGCCGCGCTGGACACCTTCGAGGACATCCCGGCCCGGGTGGACGAGATCATGTCGTCCGATGCGTTGCTGCTGAGGCGAGTGGACCTGCCCGGCTAGTCGGCGGTTTCCGGAGACAGCGACGAACGGGTCTGTGGATGCACCGGCGGTCTGGCCAGAAGCAGGGCAAGAGCGGTGATTGCGCCCAAGACCGCGTAAATGACGAAGGCGATGCCGTAGCCTCCGGCGAACTGGTAGACCAGGCCTGACGCCACCGCACCGATGGCCTGGCCGAGAGAGGTGAAGGGTTCCGTGACGCCGCGGATGGTTCCCAGGGACTGGCGCCCGAAAAAGTTCGCGTAGGCCACAGCCGGCACAACCAGGATGCCGGCGACAGCGACACCGAACAGACCGGCGGCGCAGAAAGCCAGCGCGACCGTGTCCGCCACGACGAATAGCCCGGAGGCTACGGCCATGATGAGGGCGACGATAGCGTAGGTATAGGAGACCTGCAATTTCTCGACAACGCGTCCCCAGAGCAGACTTCCGATTCCGGTGCCGGCGGCGTTGACCACGATGCTGAGCTGGGACAGCGAAAGATCGATGCCGCGGGAACGCAGCAGGTCAGCCTGATACACGTTGGTGCCCGACTGCAACAGGAAGAGCAGACCGGTGCCGATGGCCAGAACCCACAAGGCCGGTGCGCGTAACGCCTGCCGCGTTGTCCACTCCAGACCGGATTCCGTTGCTACGGAAGATCCAGCAGAAGTGTCCCCCTCGTTGACTGCGTCGGGGTCGTCACCGTCGGGAAGCAGGCCCACGTCCTCCGGACGTTGAGCGATCAGCAGCGCCGCGGGAGCCAACGCGATGGCGTACACCATCAGACCCAGGACTATCCAGGCGACCTGCCACCCGTAAGCAACGCTGACCCAGGTGGCCACCAGCGGGAAAACTACCATGCCGCCCGAATGGGACAGGAACAGCAGTCCCGTGGCCCGGCCGCGCTGGCGCACAAACCAACGCCCCACAACGGTTGCCGCTCCCACGTTGAGCGGGCTGCTGAACATGATGCGTCCGACGGCCATAGCCGAGTAAAAGATGGCTATATGGACTGAAAGCCACGCCATGGCGATGGTGCTGAGCCCGATAATAATCAGCGAAGACACCAGCACGGCCCGGGCCCCATAGCGGTCAATGGCCCAGCCCACGGGCGGAGACGCCCCGGTGGCGAGCAGGCCGCCGACAGCCGCGGCGCCTCCGATAAGCGCCCGGCTCCATCCGGTCTCGTCGGCAATGAGGGGCACGAAGACGGCGAAAGTGAGGCTGCCGGCCGCGTTGCGGACGAACATGCTGCTGCCGGCGGTGCCCAGGACGATCCACCCGTAGAAGAACGGAGTCCGCTGGGATATGTAGGCAATCAGGAGGTGCACGGTGGAAAAAACCTAATTGGAGATCTGCCTCAGGGCGGCGACGGTATCATCGCGAAACCGGCGCCAAGATTCTAGCTGCTCGAGCTGTCCGCCTATGGGCAGGTTTTAGAGCAATCGGTTTCGCAGATCCGGCAATCGCCGCACTAGCGAGCGCCGTCTTCGTCCATGCACGTCACCAGCAATCAGAAGGGCGCAGCGCAATACGGCTTTAGGATCTACTACTCTCTCTGTATTCCCAGGCGACGGCAAATCCAGTTCGGTTCTGCCATTCGGATTGCCGACCACAGTCCGAATAGCCACCTCATCCAACAGCAACCAAGCCTCCGTCATTCGAACCGGAATTATAGCGACCCAAGGTTGGGGGGTTCCAACGTCGTTGATTGCATCGGAGATCTCCCTGATCCGTGCATCAACTCCGGCGCGGTCCGCGTCACGGTGGATGAATAGCAGATCGTAATTACGGTCAGTTGCGAGACCATTACGTATCTTGTCGGCCACTTGTCGACCGCTCGTAGTAACGTCGAGATTGGGTTCGACCTGGCCGTGGATTTCAATCAGTCGCTGTAGGTGATTTGCGAGCGGGGCATCCGAATTGCCCTCACATACCAGCAGACACCGGATCACCATGTGGATTCCCAGAACTCCCGGGGAAATGCAATTTGGGCCGATTCCGGAGGCATCAGATATGCTTGCAGCGACAATCTGTTCATGCCGGCTCGATCGTCAGAACAGCGCCAAGTTCCCTGATATGGTTGACACTCCATCAGCTGTTCTACGAAGGTGCCCGACTTCAAGCGTGCCATTCGGGCTCTTGCCAGCACCAAGTCGTCCGCGTTTTGCAATTGAACGAAGAAAGGCGAATGCGTAGCAACGATTACCTGACGCAACGGGTTTTCTTCGCCTACGGGCTCATTCGGGTCAACCGCTATTTCACCAAGGAGGCGGTTCATAGCGCCGATCTTTGCAGGGTGAATGCCATTTTCAGGTTCCTCCATACAAATGACTGCACTTTCGTCGACTACCTCAGTCAACGCTGCGAGTGCGAGGAACCGGAGCGTTCCGTCCGAAATGGAATTGGCTCGGAGTTTGATCCCGGATTGCTCCTCGATTTCCAACGACAACAATTGACGCACTTCGTCGGATCTCACGCTAACCCGTTGTATTGGAACGAGATCCGCCAAAATGATCGAGACCATTTGGAAAACAGTTTCGGGACGAGCTTCGCACTCTATCGCCGCGTTGGATAGGTGTTGCAACGTGGCAGGTATATGCGCTCCGTTGGACGCTATACCGGGGGGTTGCGTGAAATGGTCAGGGCGACGCATGGCGGCTGGATCGAGGGCCAGTACTCTCCAGCTCTGCATCTCCCGCCGCGCCGCCAATATCGTTGGCGTGGCCGCAGTGTTTTCTGTCCCCATGATGGTACGTCTCGCTTCCTGCGCGGGCGATCGCCAACCACGACCGTGCGAGCCTCCATCCTGATGAACTACGATAGCCGCCTGTTCGTTTTCCGACTCGTTTTCCGTGGATACAAACCCACTGCGGGAATGGCGTTTGTTGAACACGATGCTGTCGCGGAATCTGCTCTTGCTGTGCGGAAACTTCAGGTGACGGGCCGCGTGTCCCGTGATAATAGGCCGCAGTTCTTCGCGTTCGAGCGTTAAGCCTCCCAAGAGACCGACGCCTGCGACGGCGGTTCGTACCGGAAAGCGACCTCATAGCGTAGGAAGGAAGAGGACGTCTCCGCTTCCCGGCCGAAATCGTCGCGAACATTTCTGCCTACTATCATCTCCGCTGCGAACTTCATCCGGTTGACCCGTTCACCCCCAGCACGAAACAACAGGTCCGCGATGTCCCCGGTGTCTTCTCCGGCGTTGCGGATCTGCCGCGCCGCATCGTTGATGGTGTGCTCAGTAAGCAGCGAAAGGAATCGGACGGCGTCAAAGATATTGGATTTGCCCACGCCGTTGGGACCAGCAATGCAGGTGTACGGCCCAAAGTCCAGCGAGAAATCTACCAGGTTTTTGAATCCGTTGACTTCCAGCCTCGTCAGCATGATTGCCTCCGTCAACGGCAGGTGTATCGCCGTTTGGTGATTTTAGCACGGGCCCGAACTAGGGCTGTTGGGCCATTTCGCAGGCGAACCAGAGCGCGAGGCTACCGGTGCGGTCGTCGTGGCCGTTGACGGCGGTACGGTTGAGGTAGGCCCGCGTGTCGGGCATGACGCCGGTGCTGATACAGCCGTCGACAACGCCGGCGTTCTCATCGATCCGTTCGGTCAAGGCCCGCCAACAGGTTCGCAGGCTGGCGCTGTACCCGGCAGCCTCGTCGGAGGGGAGCCAGCCGAGGCGGATGCCCCGAGCCAGGGCGTATCCGATCATGGAGGTGGAGGTCAGTTCGCCCCACGCGCCGGGCAGGTCCACCAGCTCACCGAAAGTGCCCCAGGGCTGTTGGACACGCAGCAGGGCGTCCAGATGGCGGCGATGACGCTGCAGGAGGGTGTCGCGGGCGGGGTGGTTGTCGGGAAGATAGGTGAGGGCTTCAGCGTAGCCGAGCGCGGCGAACCCGTTGCCTCGGCTCCAATAGAACGGCGCTGACCGGGCATGGCGGAACAAGCCGTTTGCCTCCTGAACGTCTCCACCGTCCAGAAGGAAAGTGGCGAGAAGACCGGCGTATTTGGTGTCCCCAGAAATGCGATACGCTCGGCCGAGCATCGCGCCGGTCATGAACATGTCCTCGACCCGAAAATCGGGACCGCATGGGGCCGGAGCTTCGCCGGCGCCACGAGCCACGAAGCGATCGGCGGCGTAGAAAAAGAGGCGACGGTACTTTTCGTCGCCGGTGTAGTCCGCCAAACGGGCAGCCCACACAACGCCGGTCAGGGCTGCGCCGCCAGCCTCGGCCAGATAAGCCGGCGGATCGGCGGCGACCGGGTCGATCAGCCGGGCGATGTCGGCGGTAGGGTTGGGCAACGCGTCATCGAGGGCAGCGAGGCGGAGGCGTCCACTGATGCCAACACCCTGGGTGTAATTGACGGGGTCGAGGGCGTGACCATAACGGCCGGCCAGGAGACGGGCGAGCTCGATGGGAGTGCGGCGACGGCGAGCGTCGAGGGCAAGACGAGCCGGGGAGGACGGTACATCCGAGTCCTTATTGGTCAAACCCCAGAGGGACTTCAGAGCGTCGGACAGTCCGGTCCAATGGGTGGTGAGGCGCAAGGCCGGTATGACGCCGGGGGAATCAGCGCAAGGACGGCCCAGTGCTGACACGAGCGAATCGTCATCGGTGACGTGAGAGGCGTTCAGGGTCAAGGCGACCGGGTTGCCGGTGGCGGCCGAATTGGCTTCCCATAGCGGTTGTTGGGCGGTATCGTCGGCCAAGGCTACCTCGACGACCAAGTCCGGAGCCTGATAACAAATCCAGCGCCACAGGTAGCGGATTTCGGGGCCGGCCTCGTCCGAGTAGAACCCGCCATCAGGGGGGAATCCCCGGGTCAGATCGGCGGGGTTTCCGGCAGCGGGTTCCCAATCGCCGCCGGCGAGGGCATCGGGATTGCTGGCGACGAGGGCGCTGAGGGCGACACCAGAGGCGCCGGCTGCAGCAGAACGGGCAAACAGATCGAGAGCGACCAGAATGCGCGGAGTGTCCATAGATTCGCCCCGCAGGCCGGCGACCAGCAAAACGGTCGGGCGGCGCTCCTCACCGGCGAACGGCAGGGAACGGGTGTCGATCAGGGCCAGCATCGGGCGCGACGTTGGCGTCAGGCCGATGGGTACACTCTGCCAACGCTCCGGGCTGCGTTTGCGAACGAGGTTCACCAGGGCGGCGTTAATATCGGTGGGGTGCATTGTGCTCATGAGCGCTCTCAAGGTTCAGGATTGTGGGCCGGCAATATTATAGCGGTGCTGGATTCGCCGTTTTCGCTTTGACACCGCGATTGGGCGGGGATAAATTGGCGGGACGTGGCCCGCGGTGGCCAGCAGCACGCAGACGGAGACTTACAGCCTATGCCTCGGTTCGACGAGTACACCGGCGAGCACCTGATTCCCCCGTATCGGATCCTGGACCTGACTGATCGCCGGGCGGCGTTCTGCGGCCGGTTGCTGGCCGACTACGGCGCGGACGTGGTGAAGGTGGAGCCGCCATCCGGAGATCATTCGCGGACCTTGGGGCCCTTTCCCGGAGACGTGCCCGACGCCGAACACAGCCTGGACTTCATGTTCTACAACACCAACAAGCGGTCAATAACCCTGGACCTGGAGACCGAAGCGGGGCAAGAACTGTTCCGGCAACTGGCGTCGGACGCGGATGTGATCATCGAGAGCCACGATCGGCACTACCTATCGGACCGGGGCATTGGATACGCCGACCTGGCCGCGGACAATCCGGGTTTGGTGATGGCTTCGGTGACGCCGTTCGGGTCTACCGGCGAGTGGTCTAACTACACGGGTGACGACCTGGTGGTGATGGCAGCGAGCGGGTACATGCAGATCACCGGCGAACCCGACGAACCTCCGGTACGCCAGGGCAACGAGCACAGCCACTATCCGGGGGCGCAGTACGCGGCGGTGGGAATCCTGGCCGCGCTCTATTATCGGGATTTCGCCGGCGGGGAAGTAGGGCAGCACATAGACGTGTCCTCGCAGGAGGCGCTGATCACCTACTACACGGACGCCCATCCGGCGCTGCTGTGGCGAAAGCTGGGGCAGAACGTGACACGGGTGGGCACCAATTCGACGCTGGTCATTCCGCTGGGAGCGTACCCGTGCCAGGACGGTTGGATCGCCGCCGGGGTCATAACGCCGCGGGAATGGGACGCTCTGGCGGAGTGGATCCACGAGGTTACCGGGAACGACGAGGTGCTGAACAAGGCGTATCGCGGGGGCAACCAGGACCGGGCGGAGCATATCGATATCATCACCGCCCTGTTCCTGGAGTTTGCGGAGAACTTCACGGTTCAGGAACTTTTTCACGAGGGGCAGCGGCGCAACCTGGTCTTTCTGCCCGTGAACGAGGTGGCGGACCTGCTGGCCGACCCGCAACTGGCGGAGTCGGGGTTCTGGTATGACATTGAACACAAGGACGCGTCAGTCGGTACGGTAAAGTACCCGCTGGGAGTATTTCACAGCGATGAAGTGTCGGCACGGAGTCGTCCCGCGCCGGCGTTGGGCGCGGACAACCTCGCGGTGTACCAAGGCGAGCTGGGATTGACCGCAGAGGAAATTGCGAAATTGAAGGCCGACGGTGTTGTCTGACCGGTCGGGCCAGCCGGCAACAGCAGGACGTTTCCCGAACACTGAGGAGCCCAAGAATGACCAGCAGCGCCACACATGCACCAGAAGTCACGCCCTCCGCGCTGGCGGGCATCCGAGTGGTGGAATTCGGGCCATACGTGGCGCTGCCGCTGACCGGAAGGATACTGGGCTCACTGGGAGCGGAGGTCATCAAGGTCGAAACGAACAAAGTCCTCGATGAGATGTCGTTCATCCCGGCATGGTCGAGGGGAGCGGGCCAGCCGGAATACCAGCGGGGGAAGCGCCGGATCACGCTGGATGTACGCACGGAAGCGGGGCGGGACCTGATGCTGGAGATGGTGCGGATCAGCGACGTGTTCATGACCAATTTCAGGCGGAATGTGTTGGATCGATGGGGGATCGATTTCCCGGAGATCCGGAAGCAGCGTCCGGACGCGATAATCATGTGGCAGACCGGGCTTGGGGGCCATGGGCCGTACTACACCTATAAGTCTTTCGGGATATTGGTGCAGCACCTGTCCGGGGTGTCACTGATGACCGGGCTGCCGGACGAGCCTCCGGGTGTAGTTAACACGTCCTACTCGGACTACCACACCGGGGTATTCCAACCGGCCGGGATCATCGCGGCGTTGATGCGGCGGAACCTCACCGGGAAAACGGCGACGCTCGAGTCGTCGATATTCAAGTCGGGAGTGGCGACCGGCGGGCCGGCGCTGCTGGACTACCAAGTGAACGGTCGGAGTCCGCAGCGCCGGGGCAACCGGGACGCCTGGGCGGTGCCGCACAACGTGTATCCGTGCGCCGGTGAAGACCGTTACATTGCGATTGCCGTATCGGACGACGAGCAGTGGGTGCGGCTCCGCACCGCGATGAGCGATCCGGAGTGGGCGGCGGCGGCGGAGTACGCAACGCGATTGGGTCGGCGGCGCAACGAAGAGGCGTTGGACGCACAGATTGCGGAGTGGACCCGGACGCAAGAGCCGCTGGCTTTGATGGAGAAGCTGCAATCGGCCGGGGTTTCGGCCGGTATGGTATCGCAGGGGCGGGACCTGAACGAAAACGGTCACCTGCAATCGCGGGAGTTTTACCAAGACACGCAGTACTGGGAGGCGGAACGGGGGGTGAAAGCAACGGAGTGGACGGAAGGCGAAAGCGTGTCCTGGTCGATTCCGGCAAAGATGTCGCGAACCCCCATACCGTTCGGGAAGTACAGCAACATCGGGGAAGACAACGGCTACGTGTTTGGGGAACTCCTGGGGATGCCCAGCAGCGAGATCGAACGGTTGGAAGAGGCAGGGGTGATTTACTGACATCACGCGGAAGCGATCCGCTCAGGTCGTCGCCAGGCAGATGGGGATGGTTCCGGGGAAAATGGCGCGGAAGGTCCGCTCCGAGCCGCGCTCACAACGGGGCGACAACTCGATGGTGCCACCGTCGTCACGCCGGGGCAGCGCCACCGGGTGACAGAGACCGGGCAGCGGCGTCTCGCCACGGGCGTAGAGAAACCGTGAGGGTCGGGATGCCTCGCCAGGGGCGCTCCCGCCAAGTTGTGCGCCGCAGCAATCTCGCCGAAGTCGGGCAGGGCGATGATCTCGGCACGCGGGTAGGCGCGGGGCGACGGGGCGGACGGTTGCGGAGACATCGTCCAGAGTTAGGACGGCCCGGGATGGCACCCTCCACCGCGCGGTTGAACGCGGACACGCGGTTACGCATCCTGCGGCACAGACGCCCGGCCAAATACTGTTCCGCATGGGCAGCCGACCGGCACCGACCCCATTTGATCGATCCGAAGCCGCAAACGGCTAGGGCGTCAGTGGGATCCGATTGTCCAGCAACGCGAAATTAATCCGGGTCGCGCGCGGTTAGTTCTCGTCACGGATGCGGCCGTACATGGCTAGAGGAGTGGCGGCGAGGAGGCCAGCGTCGACGGGGAGGACGACGCCGGAAACCCACCGTGCCTCGTCGCTGGCGAGGAACAGGGCGGCGTAGGCGATGTCCCAAGCGTTCCCCTCGGTGCCCAGGGGGCCGGCTTTTCGGCGATTCTCCCGGGTCTCCTCTGCCATGGCGCCGGCGACCATGGGGGTGTAGATGTGGCCGGGCGCGATGACGTTGACGCGGATGTTGTCGCGGCCAAGGTGGACGGCCATGGTCTCCGACATGCCGATGACTCCGGACTTGGAGGCGGAATAGGGGATGCTGGCGAGGCCGCTACCGGCGCGGACGCCGGCGATGGAGGACATGTTGATGACACTGCCGCCTCCGGCATCGATCATCCTCGGCGCTGCGTACTTGGTGGTGAGCATCATGCTCTTCAAGTTCACGTCAAGCACGTTGTCCCAGACGCTCTCCTCGACATCGGTCGGGGTTCCGGGACCAGTGATGCCGACGTTGTTGAAGAGCACGTGCAACGCGCCGTAGCGGTCCACCGCGGCGTCGACGACGGCCTCACAGTCACTGGCGGAGGTGACGTCGGCCGCAATGACCGATGCCTCGCCGCCTTCTTCGTGGATCACCGCGAGGGTCTCCTCAGCGGCCTGGAGGTTGCGATCGACCAGCAGGACGCGAGCGCCTTCGCGGGCGAAGAGGATCGAGGCGGCCTTGCCAGTGCCAATGCCCGGACCGCTGGAACCAGCGCCGGTGACGATGGCGACCTTGTCCTGCAGGCGGGGGCGGCCGGATGGAAGGAGTGTCATGGGAACCTCCGGTGAACGGGCTCGGGTGGCGCGACTTGACGCTGGTCTAGGCGGCGGGCACGGGCTCAGGAGACAGCAGCCAGTCCTGGGCCTGCCTGGCGGCGTCGGAGAGCCACTGGCCCATGATGGCCTCGCGGCCCTCGGGAATTTCGACGCCAAGACCGTCGGCCAGGCGGTTCATGAAGTTGAATATGCAAGTGATGGCGACGGTGGACAACACCTGCTCGTCGGTGAGGCCGACGGCGCGCAGTCCCTGGATGTCGGATTCCTGCATCAAAGCCGGCGTCAGGGTGAGCTTGACGGCATAGTCGAGGACGGCGCGAGTCTGCGGGTCCAGATCGGCCTGGGTGTAGTCATGGATGATGTGGCTGGAATAATCGGGGTCGCCGGAGTGTTGACGGAGGAACCCTCCGTGGGCGACGGCTCAATAGCGACAGCGGTTGATCAGGGACACCACCGTGGCGATGGCCTCCTCCTGAGGGCGAGTCAAGGCGGAGGAGCCGAAGGTGGCATTGGCGTTGAGGTTCTGCACCGCCGCCATGAGGTCGGGGTTAATGGACATGCACTTGATGACAGCCGAGACGGGGGCGTCGGTTTCGCGAATCCAGGACATGGAGACCTCCTTATACGGATGTGGCGGCGCGTTGGGTCGAGAACCGACTTTCAATCACCGGTTGGGGTCTGAGTTACGATGGCCATTTTATGTTCAGCGGTGCCGAGGAGCAGGTTGCCAAGGCGCACATCGACCGCGAAGCGGAGCTTGTTTCCCGAAACGTCGGTCAATACGGAACGCGCCGTAACGACGGACCCGGCATCGGCCGGCGCCAGGTGTTTGACGTTGACCTCGTAGCCGACGACGGTCTGATTGAGGTGGAGCAGCGACAAAACCGCGTGGTAAGAGGCCTGCTCCATGAGCATGACCATGGCCGGGGTGCTGAACTTCGGGGTATGTGGGGCGAGGTGTTCAGCGGCGACAGTCAATTGAGTTTCGCCTGCCAGACCGGGCCGGATGGCCGGGTCTATCGGCAGGCGAGACGGTTGCGATGTACCGGGAGTCGCCATGGGCGGCGGCCCGGCAGCGCGAATGACTAAGCGGCGACGGCCTGGCCGGTCAGGATCGACTCCACCTCGTCGGCGAGTTCGGCGGCGCGGGCCTTGACCTCATCGTCGGTCAGGCTGGACAGCGGATGCTGGGCGACCACATAGCGATAGTCGGGCACACCCATCATGCGGGTCATAGCCTGAGCTGTGTTGAGGAAAACGTGGGTAATGATGGCCGCGGTGGGGACGCCGCGCTTTTCCATGTCGATTCCGTCGTGCACACTGCACGAACTGCAGGACCCTCAATCCCCAACCCCGGTGATGAGGTAGTCGACCTCACTCAGGATGGAGTCGATCATGTCCGGCTTGGCGGGCAGGCTGGCGTGGCCTTTGTCGTAGTACTTGATCTCGGAGAAGCCGTGGCGCTCGTTGAGGATGTCGCCGAGCTCATGGAGGAGCTTGTCGGCGTTGGCCTTGGAGTTTTCCATGAGGCCGAGGCGCTTGCCGGCGAGGCCGCCGGAGCGGTCGTTCATGTGGAACTCGGATTGGGGCAATTCGGTGCCCTTGGGGTTGACGAGCCGGAGGCGGCTCGATTCGGCGGTTGTCATGAGTGACCTCCGTTTGGTGTGAGCGTGTCGGCGGAGCTAACTATATGGGCGGATTGTACCGTCAAACAACGGTGTTGCGTAACCCCCGGTGCAAGAGCAGACGGCAGATCCGGACCAGTATCGCCTAGTTGGCCGAGATCTTGCGAGTGCGGATGCGGTACCCGGTGGTATCGATTATGGCGCTGTAGCGACCACCGGTGCCGCCGCCGTGCATGATGAGGATGTCGTCGGGGTCGTTGGCGCAGCGCATGATGAGCTCCTCGTCGCCGGGGCGCTCTGGGCCCTGCTTGGAGCCCAGACGGACCAGTTCGGCGCGGGAACGGCCGCTATTCTCGATCAGGAAGTCCTGGATATCGCGGCGGTTCCAGCCGTCACCCTGCAAGGTGAGGGCGTGCTCGGGTCCGATGACAATGACCCACTGGGCGGGATAGCGGTGGGCCAGGGCGGCGGAGCGCAGGGCGTCGCAGATGGACAGCAGGATTGCTCGGCCGGTGTGGGCGTAGCTGTTGGGCACGCTGACCGGGTTGTAGGCGACGGCAACGGTGACCACGCTATCGGAGGCGTCAAATCCGCGACTAACGTGGAGAGGCTCCCAGGGGGAGGTCTCCTCGTTTTCGGCGATGCAGAAGGTGTACTTGGCCGGCGTGCCCAGAGTGCCGCGGTCGAGTTGGCCGGGCCAGGCGTCGAAGCCGTTCATGAAGCAGAGACGGACGGCGCGGCCGATGCTGGCGTTGGCGCGGAAGCCGGGGCCGAACAGGCCGTCCCGACTGTTGATGCCCAACGCCTCGCGGATGGGGCCGTTGAGGACCATGAGGATGCTGGGCGAGCTGGTGGAAGAGGCGGCCATGTTGACGAAGTTGCGCTCTTCTTCCAGGGTGCGCAGGGCGGTGACCAGGACCGGGAAGTACTCGGCTTCGCAGCCGGCCATGACCGCGTTGGCGGCGGCGTTCTCGGAGGTGATGACGCGGCTGCGCATATCGAGGTTGAGCAGTTCCTCCTCGCCGGTGAGGCCGGCAAAGGAGAGCATCTCGCGTACCTTGTAGTCGGCTGGCGGGACGACGGGCAGGCCGTCGGTCCAGCCCATGCGAAAGCATTCCTCGATGGCCTCGATAGTGTCGGCGGTTTCGACGTGGCGTTCTGCGCTGCTGGTCATGTGGGTCTCCTAGGTTGTGCTGTTTTCGGTGAAGGGTTCAAGGATGTCGAGAAGTTCGCCAATTAGATCCAATCCGTCCTTGATGTCTTCGGGATCCAAAAATCTCTTGCGCGTGTAGAAATAGCCATGCAATTCATTGGCTACTCGACGGTGATTCCGCAATCTCTCATCGCCAGCCAGAATGCGGGCGCGGTTGATCACGTCGGCGAATTCGTCATGACGAACGTATTGCCATCCTTGAGCTGCCGCAACGGCTTTGGCCATCCATGCGGCGGCGCCCCAGCCTTTTTCGGCGGCCTGGTGCAGGTCGTCGTCGGCAAGGTACTGGTGGCTTTTGACCAGGAATTGCCGGGCCTGCTGACGGTAGTCGGCGATGGCTGCCGACGGCTCGTTATAGGGTTCGATGGGGGAAGACTGTGTCATTGGTCGGTCTGGGTCGATTTGAGGCGGCCGGTGACGATCACGCCGTCGGTGACGCTGTAGCCGTGCCCGGGGTGAATGTCGGTAATTTCGGTGTGCGTGTAGGCGGTGCGGCCGCTGATAATGGGGGTGACGGATATGACATCATATCCGGCGGCGTCGAGATCGTTACAGCAGCGTTCCAAGTATTCGGCCATCTGCTGCAGCCGTGTGTGCTCCTCACCGGTGACGCTGACCTTGCCGACTGTACCGCCATGAGTGGACAGCGTGGTGTCAGCGTAAACGTAACGGGTGGTATACGCAGGTTTGTCCTTGGTGGGGTAGGCCGACCGGAACAAGTGTCGCCTCGCTTGAATCTCCAATTTTTGAGCAACGAAACGCCGCACCCATTATTGCGCTGTGGGGGCGGCGTGGCAATCCCGGCACTGGCCGGGTGCCGAAAATCGGACCGGCGAGCGAGGCCGTTAATAGGATCGGGTTATCTCTGGTGTAGAGGTTAGACAATATGAAGCAAGGCAGCGTGACCGGCCACTATGCTCAAGTCGGTTAGGCCAGACGCGCTGGTCCCGCAACACCGCGCCATCCGGCGAATCAAACGCATGGTGGATCATCCCTTGTCCCAGGTGTCCCCCACCTTCGACCGGATGTACGCCGACAATGGCCGAGAGGCGATCCCGCCGGAGCACCCGCTGAAAGCCTGCTTGCTGATGGCGTTGTTCTCGGTGAGTAGCGAGCGGCAGTTCTGCGAGCGGTTGGAGTACGACCTGCTGTTCAAGTGGTTCTCGGACTTGAACATCATGGACCACAGTTTTAAACACTCGGTGTTCTCCAAGAACAGTCATCGATGGTTGGATGACAACGTGACCAGGGGGGCGCTCTGCTGCCATTACGAAGGGCGCGATATTGGTCGACTTCCACCAGTCATTCCCTCAGCGTCAGTGGGCGGCGAGGGAATCAGGGATGCTCTGAAATCGGCAGAAACGAGTCCAACCAGATTCGCTCAAAGTCTGAAAACCAATGAGCGTACTTTGAGGCGTTGGCAACGCGCGCAAACGACACCCCATCTCACCAACCGGCACCCGCTGACTGAACGGTCAACACATGGGGAGCCGTGAAACCGCCGGCGGCTACCCGAAACTGAACGCGTACCGATCGTGCAGTTCGGTATTCGATTGGCTTTGAAATGACCGGGATGAAGGAAGGGGGGTTTGTTGCAATCGCCTGGGTGCTCAACCGACACTTGATGGTGGTCTCTGCGCCGTTCGCGGGCTTTGCGACGCACCCCCCTTCGACGCTAGATTCCCAACGCCGCTACCCCTGCCTTGGCGATGGCCTCGTCGTCGAGCCCGCTGGGCAGGCCTCCCACGCCGATGGCGCCGACCACCACACCCTCGTGGATAACGGCAACCCCGCCCGGTAGCGCTATCAACTGAGCATCCCCGAAGGACTCAATTGACCTGCCCGTGCTGCTGAGTTGTTCGGCGAACGCGGCGGTATCCATGGAGCGCACCGCCGAGGTGTAGGCCTTTCGGATGGCGAAGGTGGGCCGCAGGCAGCGGTCCATCCGGGCGTAGGCCAGCAGGTTTCCGGCATCGTCCACCACGGCCATATCGACCTTGCGTCGGTTGGGGTCCCGGTTGAAATCAGCAACCATCGCCGTGATGGCATTCTGGGCCTGTTCCAAACTGAGCATTGCCTTGTTGTACATGTCTTCGACCTCCGCGAATTGTGAGCTTGGGAAACTGCGCCGCTCTATTGCGAACGGGTTGCTGTGTGTTCAGTGGCTGGGTTTGGAGCCAGTCTATCCGCTCCCGGTGGCGCCGTAAATCAGGGGAACGCCCCAACTCCGTGGAACGTTGACGGGCCAGTGTTCCTGCGGGGAATGCTGAAGGATTTGGATTTACCGCCTCCCATACAGCCGATTTATGTTGCCGAATCGCTCCGGGTTCAACTCTTTTCCCTGCAAAGCCGGGTGGTCAGGACCGTAGCGATGGGCTCGGAACACGCCGTTTGCCATACCGAATTGGGACGGGACAACGATAGGACTGACGTATTCCCACACTATCTCTCCAACGGGGGTCACCTCGAACAGCCGGCCCGTCTGACCTTCGGTGATGAGAGTGTTGCCGTTGGGCAGGCGCTGCGCCCCGCCGGTGAAGTGGGTGAAGAAGGAGACCATGGGCGATCCCTGGTACTGCCAGACGATCTCGCTGGTGGCCGGGTCCACCTCAACGACCCGGGAGTAGCTGAGGCCCCGACGGTGGGCGCCGTTGTCGAGCAGCAGCACGTTACCGTTGTCTAGGTAGGTGGGGTGATGCTGATGAGATATGTTCCCCGGACCCCACTTCCAGGTAATCTCCCCCGTCGAACGGTCCACCAACGCCACGGTGTCAAGGACGCGGAAGCTGATGAGGAAGGTGCGTCCGTCAGACGACGAGGTGAGGTCGTTGGCGCTTCCCCAGGCATCGCGCCTTTCCAGGGGGCAAATCACGTCCGTTTCCGGGTCCAGGTGGTCGGCGGATCGCCAAACGCTCACCTCAGCTCCATCCGGGGTAACCTCCACGACCTGGTCGCCCAACATTTGCTCCGGGTCGCTGGCGGTGGTAAAGCCGCCTCGGACCCTGCCGGTCAATTCCGCCGATATTCTGTCGCGTTGCAACAGGATCAGGTTGTTGCCGTTGGGAAGCCGGTTGTGACGCCGGAGGCTGGGGTTGTGATACTCCCAGACCAACCTGCCTTCCCAGTCCAGTTCCCGGATGTGGTCGGCGCCCGGTGGGTCGGTCCCCTGATCGCGGAACAGCAGGTTCCCGTTGGCCAACAGGTAGCCGTAGGCGATGCCGCCAGGATGGCTCCAACGGTGTACGACGTTGCCTTCCATATCGATCAGATACGCGTCGCTCCCGCCGTTTGGTGAGAACAGGGTGTACCCCCGGTATGCGCCGCCCGAATGGCAACGGAGCAATCCGATGGGACGGGAGGACGTGGTCATGCGGTTCCCCTCCTGTTTGTGTGGACAAACGTCGCCGCTGGTTGCTGTTCCCAGCTGGTGCCGTGTCTTCCTGGCCGATGATACCGGCTGCGAGAGCGGTGGTAAACTCGGCTCCATTCAGCGCCCCATTTGCGGCCGCACACCAGGAGGCGCCTCCCATGCGCATTGCCGTACCCGACCTGGTTTCCAACTCCTACTTTCCGGCGGTTGCCGCCATAGAACTGGGGCACTTCCGGGCACAGGGATTGGAAATGGAGTTGGAGATGGTTTTTCCGGTGGGCCGGGCCATGGAAGCATTGCGGGACGGCAGCGTCGACTTCGTGGCCGGTCCCGCCCACGCCACTCTGTCGGTTTTCCCCGGATGGGAGGGAGCCAAGTTGCTGGCCGCGCTGTCACAGCACACCTTCTGGTTGCTGGTAATGCGCTCGGACCTTGGGGTCCAACCGGGAGACGTTGCAGGGGTCAAAGGGTCTGCGCATTGGAGCAGCCCCCGGGCCCGACGTCGCACTCAGGCGGCTATTGGCCGAAGCGGGCGTAGACCTTGTGGCGGACGGTGTAACGCTGCAGGGCAATCGCGTCTTATCCGAGGAGGACTTTGCGCAGGTAGTCCTCGTCCCATCCGGCGTTGAGCCGCTTGCCCTGAATGCCTACTTTCAAGGTGCTTTCGTTTTTCAACCGGTTGTGCCCAATCTGCCGCAGCGTGGCCAGGTTCTGCGGTCCATGGTCCTTGCGCACTCGGCACTGGTCTTCCCGAAAGGTCACGTCCAAGGTCCAGTGCAGCGAGTTTTCGATGCTCCAGTGGCTTCTGATGGCAGCCAGGAGTTGTTCTGCTGAGGCTGGCAGGCTGCTGATGTAGTAGCGGGGCTGACTTATGCCACCCGCTCCAGTTTGACGATGGCCCACCACCCTGACGGCCGCCTTCAGTTGGGACCATTGCCCCTGGGGGTCCAGATAATCCAGGCAGTCCGTCGCCGTGATGGTCCAGCATTCCCGCCGTTCCACCCGTCCGTGTCCCTTGTCCACGGTCCGTGCATAATCGTAAGGCACCCCGTCAAAACCCCAGGCCTCGGCTCCCTGGAACAGGTCTCGGATGCCCTCATGCAACCGGCCCTGGTTCTCCTTCACCGCCAGCACGTAGTCGGCCCCGCCCGCTATGATCTGCTGGGCGATCTCCCGCTGGCAGCCCATGGCATCGATAGTTACGATGCAGCCATTCAAGTCCAGCATCTCCAGCAGTTGTGGAATGGCGGTGATCTCATTGGACTTCTCCTCGGTCTTGACCTGGCCCAGGGTCAGGTTATTCTGCGTGGCCCAGGCGCTGACCAGGTGTATGGCCCCCTTGTTCCCCGCCGGATCATAGGACCGTCGGGCCGTCTTGCCGTCAATGGCCACCACCTCACCCGGCAGCAACTCGGCGATGGCCTGGGTCCAGGATACGAAGCAGTTCTGCAACTGCACTGGGTCCAGGCGGGCGAACACATCGCCGAAGGTGTCGTGGGATGGGATACCGTGGGGCAGTTCCAGGAAGGTTTGAAACCAGGCCAGCTTGCTCTTGCCGAAGAGTTCTATGTGGACCCAGGAATCGGCGCCGCAGATGGTGGCGCAGATGGCAATGGCAATGATGTCCACCAGCTTATGGCGTCGGGTGCGTTCCACCCGTGGGTCGTCCAGGTCAGCGAAATGATCGAGAATAGTTGTTTTGGGTGGTTGTGCCATGCCTCACTGCCTCCATATGGTTCAACGGATCATGGCACGTTAGCACATTTCTAAAAATACTATTAAGACGCGATTGCCCTGTCGTGGATGAGTGGGATGGCGGTTCTTATGACCTGCAGTGGCATACTGGGCCGAGTACTCACACGGTTCGTAATTGGGCTTACGATGGCACGAACCATCGGTACATCAATTCCGGGCGTGATTGGGATGACCAGTCTGCCGGGGACTACGTGTGCAAGTATGGCATGGCCACGAGGTACGATTGTGGCGAGATCGAGACGAAGTACTATCATTTGGCGCCGGGCCGGGGGAACCGGTGGGTCCTCGTGCAAAATGTTGAGGGTGACAATTCTGTCTTGGCTCGGCCTGGGGATAGTGGGGGCCCGTTCTTTGATGGGAACGTTGCGGTCGGGATACTGACACACAGCGTTGATGCCACTAAAGCAATCTACATGGCGTTCGACTTTATCGAGGCCAAGGGTTTGACCTTGGACAGTGACTAGCATGGCTTTCCGCGACGGGTTTCGCTTCGATTCCGGTTCCTCTGTCTCATGGGGTTTCCAGGTGCTCGGTTGTCTGTTGATGCTGACAGTCGTGATGTTCCTGGTTTCATGTGGGGGCGGTGTTGACGGTCCCGTCTCGGACACGCCTACGCCTACGCTCTTGGTTCTGGCTGATGATCCTACGAGCATTCCTCGGGTGACTGAGGTCTCCTCTCCCGCGTCATTGGGAGAGGAGGCTTCAAATGCTGCGGTTGAATCTCCCGCGGTGGCAGTTGAGCTGTCGTTCCCACGTCATGGCGAGGTACTGCCCGCGAATCCCGGGGATGCTTACGTTTACGGCGAACTTTCTCGTTCAGGGGATTGCTTGCGAGTCTCCTACGCAGATCAGGTGGACCCCGTGGCCACCCGCGATGGTTTGCTGGTTGTCTGGCCGAAAGGGTTTGAAGCGGAGGATGACGGTCAGTCGGTCGAAGTGTTCGACTCCGGGGGGGATTTGGTTGCTTCCGTGGGTCAGTCGGTCCGGATGTCCGGCAGGAAGGTTGCCTCGGAAGGAGAGTGGGACTGGACCGGGGTGCCTGGTCGTTGCACCGGCCCCTTCTGGTTGGTGGGTGATGAGGTATCGCTTGTGAAGGGGGTTGGTCTAGTCGTTGAGTCGTATGGTGAGGTGTTATTTGCGACGTCAGGCGAGCAGCGTGGGCCGATTGTATCGGAGCTGGCTGGGTTGGGAGGACTGCTGCGATTGAGTGGCCGTTGCTTGGTCGTTGGTGGATTAGATTCGCCGAAAGAGTACCTGGTGGTCTGGCCGCCGGGATTCCGTTTGGAGGGTTCTGGTGAAAACCTGTCTGTGTTGAACGGGGGTGGGCACGTCATTGCCAAACTGGGAGATGCTGTTTTGTTGGGGGGTAGGTTTGGTAAGGTTGTAACCGCTTATTCTGGGGAATGCGACGGGGTGTACTTCAAAGCGAATAGCGTGATGAATTTGGAGAGGTGAGGGGCGGTTTTTCGGGGCTTTCGGTTATTTCCCGGAGGCACAGGTCCGTTCCGGTGTACGCGATGGGCGAACAGCATGGTTTTTTAGCTCCGGCGCACGGCTGTATGAGGAAGCCATCGGCTTTCGCTAGTGTTTTACTGCTCTTCGGAATCTATGGAAGACAACGTTGTTGGCGCAGATATTAAGCTTCGTGTTCAGGCACCGGGTAGGCGTCGTGGTGGCGGTTGTGGTGCTGTGCATCGACCAGGCTGCTAAGTACGTGGTAGACGGGCTGCTGGAAGTGGGGGAATCATGGCCGGCCTACGGGCTCTTCAGCCTGACGCATGTGACGAATACCGGCAATACTGTGAACTTGTTCAGCGGCCATTCGTTGGTTCTGATTGGGGTGTCGGCGGGTGGGATTGCGTTGCTGTTTGCTCTCTACTGGCCTCGCCCGAAAACTGGGGTGATGGGCCAGGTCGCGTTCGGGTTGATGCTGGCAGGTGTGACCGGAAATCTGGCGGACCGTG